TTTCTGAAATCCCTCCAATAGTTTTCCATATGTAACTCTGTTCCCAACAAGCCATAGCCAACACAGGAGGACCTCTAAGACCCGTCTATTGCTTATGGAGAGTCAGAATCAGAATCTGGCTCACAAAGAGGTGAAGGGAGCCAGGGATCAACCACAAAACTGGGAAAATCCTACCAGAACGTATAGGTGCAACAAAACAAGTGGCTGTTTGTGGGAAATTAGGCACCTATAGGTTAATAAAGTAAATGATCATTGGCTTGGGGTAACTCCCTTAACTCTGATGAGCCTGACTGCAACCAAAATGGCAACTCAGGTCATCTTAGGATTCAGCCAGCCTGCCCTCTCACTCAGGAGTTGCCTGTGCCACACTGCATAACCCCACAGCAAAGAAGGGAACAGGGAGGGAAAGGGAAGCTACGAAGGGAACAGGGAGGGAAAGGGAAGCTACTAGTGGCCCACCAGAGACAGGCATTCCACTACATTCAACACTTTATTTCTGAGAGCGACCTTTCAGTAACGTTCTGAGCTTACTCGTGACAACTGCTCAGTAGAGGCATCTGGCTTCACTAAACATCATAAAAGGCGAAATGAGCTCGCCCAAGAAGGGTCAGAAAATGTTTTTTTAAACTTACTCAAATTTTAATAAGTTATTAGATAACAGTTTATTACTATGTTACAATAAATGTGGTCTTTAAAAAATATGTATATTAAGTTTTTATTATAGGCTTTATACTGTTACACTAGAGAAATACTTGCTTATGTTTAGTATTATTATAGAGTAGAAATGCATTTCAATTTTTTTTTGCCAGTTACTTCTGAGTTCTAGAGTCATTTATTGATGGAAGAGAATTCTTTATAACATGAGTACTATAAACAACTTGCTACACACGGCTGACACTTCATATATATTAATGTGCCCTTGAAAGTGACCCCACCTAGTGCACACTTTGAGATCAAGATTAGATAATATGCTCAGTGCAGATGAACTTCATCTATAGTAAATGTAAAGTGATTAAAGTGTTTGATGAATAAAGAACAATCCAAGTAATGTAGACAAAAAGAATTCAAACTACTGTACTGTTTTGAAAATTTATGTTCACTCTGCTGAAATGTCCATAAATTATTGATAAATGAAGCATGTCTAAGTCCTAATTGGAGCACCTATTACAATCTATTAATTGTGTATGTTGCCAGGTTAACCCCTGGGCTGCTCTTCAGATTTTAGCCTGCAACACGCCCAGGTGCAAGAAAAAATTCTAAAAAATTATTTTATCTTATATAAGTGTTCATTTGTGTTCTCTAATCACGGGAAAATAAAAAATAAAATTAATTTTATTTACCAATGACATAAATGAGCCGAGAAGTTTGGCAATGACGTCACAGCAAGTGTGCGCTCAAGCAGTTTATTCAATTAGTTGTGCTTGCGGGGGTTGAGCTCTACTCTTTTGGCCCGCCTCTTAACTGTCAATCAATTAACTACTAATTATTAAATAACTACTAACTAAACTAAATAACTAACAATCAAATAACTACTAATTTTTTTTCTCCACACACACACACACCAACCCACCCACCCAAGGAAGCAGCCCATAACAGTTGTCTAACTCCCAGCTACCTATTCACTGCTAGGTAACAGGGGCATCAGGGTGAAAGAAACTCTGCCCATTCGTCTCTGCCTAGTCCGGGAATCAGACTTGGCAGAGACAGGCACACACACCGACACACACTACGCAGTGTGTCCCGGTGGCGTCGCGCACTGCCTTCAAGCAGCTACAGTTGCCACGAATTTATTTTTGTGGCATTATTTACAGTGTCTAGGCGTATTTTACCACAATTTTTGTTTTACTGATATTGTTCAATATATTATCACTTGATGATGTATTATAATACAACTTGCATACATTGAATACACACTCACATATTAGTGTCACAATCATACACACACAAATGTTTTCTTTTACAATATACATAATATGTACATGTATTCAGATTTTTCATCAATATATATACATGCACTCACCCAATATGTACAGGTTTTTGCATCATTATTGGAAAGTTAGAAGTCCTGGAAACAGTGGTAGTCGTTAAAGTAGTTGACATGACACAAAACCACGGCACACGCTTCACACCATGTTAGTACCACTTTATATTTCTGTTGTCTCGTTTGTGCAGTTTTACAAATAATGCGCTCATGCTGGGCTACTGCATGCTTTCCAGTTGGTGGCAAATTTTTTAGTCTGTGTACTTGAAAGCCATCCCTGTAAGTGAGCCTTGGTGTAGCAGCATGGTGCAATACTGGATTCTGAATGTGTCTTTGTATGCCAGGAATGTCTTTGCCAAACTTTGTTAGTAATCGTGTCACAACTTAAAAACTAAACTCATGGCATGTTGGTTTACGACCCGTTTTCACCAAATATATATTGAAACTGTTCAGCATGGTTACGTCAACAAGGTGATAAATCATCTTTTTGGTCCACTTCACTGTTTTACATACACACTCAACAGCGCCCACCATCATGTCACATTTATCAACCAAACGCATGTTTACGTTATAGTTCATAACACAATCTGGTTTATATATTGGTTGTTTTGTTCACCTTGTCACTGTTCACCATTGTACCAGTGTGAACAGATGTCAACATATTCACTTCTCGAATCTCGCCTGTCTTCCCACCGCACAGAGTATTTGGTCAGTTTTTCTTGCCTCGCACTCACCTACTGCATTATTATTGTCAAACACAGGCATATCCCTTCTTTTTGTCTTTACTGTGCCACACATACTTGCAGTTCTATTTTCAAGCAAGAACCTAGTTTGTAAGGGACTTGTATAATAATTGTGTGTGTATAAAATGTGGCCTTTGTTTAGCCCTGCCATCAGTGTCTTCACCACACTACCTAAGAAATCATGTTGGTCATTACCGGGAATGTCTACATTGGTAGCAGAATGCAGAATCATGTGTAACAATTCCTGTTTCACAGTCATAGAGAACAAAGAATTTCACCCCAAATCTGTGGCATTTGGAGGGAATATATTGCTTGAAGGCAACACGTCCTTTGAAAAGCACAAGGTATTCGTCAATCACCAGCTTCTGAGCTGTTAAGTAGAAATCTCTGAAATTTCCAATCAGTTCATTCATAACGTGCCTCACTCTCCAACATCTATCATCCTCTGTCCGGTCTTCATTACTTGCAAAATGAAGAAACCTGAGAAGTATCTGAAACCTGTCTCGAGACATACATTTCCCAAACAATGGTGTTGGAACACTGGGGTCTTTGTTCCAATAATCTGAGATGAAGTGTTTTACACAATGTCTCATCTGGTTGATACCTGGTTGATGGGGTTCTGGGAGTTCTTCTACTCCCCAAGCCCGACCTGAGGCCAGGCTCGACTTATGAGAGTTTGGTCCACCAGGCTGTTGCTTGCAGCGGCCCGCAGGCCCACACACCCACCACAGCCCGGTTGGTCCGGTACGTGCGTGCGTGCCGTATATGTTCTCTGTATTCCCTCCATTTCAGTTAGTTTAGTTCATTTATTATGCACCCCATACCCATCCTGTGGGCGGTAGTGGAAAGGGTTACAGAGGCACATAATGGGCTCAGGGACAGGGCTCCAAGGGGTAACCCGATCCCACATCGAGTGGGATCGGGTGTTGGGACATGATGCGCTTGCCATCGTGTCTGCTGGGTAACTGAGGTTCCCACACAATGACAACCTACACTGGATTTTTTCCAAGATGACGTCTGTTTACTATCGCCCTGGGCAGCGTATGGGTTGCCCCCTCTAACCCGCTGGCTGTTTAAATCTTGTGTGGTACTCGCACACATACATAGCTGTGGTGGCATGCATGCATGCATGCATATTATTATTATTATTATTTTTATATATATATATATATATATATATATATATATATATATATATATATATATATATATATATATATATATATATATATATATATATATATATATATATATATATAAAAAATGTTGTACCTAGTAGCCAGAACATCGTACTCGGCCTGCTATGCAAGGCCCAATTTGCCTAATAAGCCAAGTTTTCCTGAATTAATATATTTTCTCAAATTTTTTTCTTATGAAATGATAAATCTGGGTATTTCATTATGTATAAGGTAATTTTTTTTTATTGGAGTTAAAATTAAAGTAGATATATGACCGAACCTAACCAACCCTACCTAACCTAACCTATCTTTATAGGTTAGGTAGCCAAAAAAGTTAGTTTAGGTTAGGTTAGGTAGTCGAAAAACAATTAATTCATGAAAACTTGGCTTATTAGGCAAATCGGGCCTTGCATAGTAGGCTGAGAAGTGCGTTCTGGCTACTAGGTACGACATATATATATATATATGTGTGTATGTGTATATATATGTATATATATATATATATGTCGTACCTAGTAGCCAGAACGTACTTCTCAGCCTACTATGCAAGGCCCGATTTGCCTAATAAGCCAAGTTTTCCTGAATTAATATATTTTCCCTAATTTTTTTCTTATGAAATGATAAACCTACCCATTTCATTATGTATGAGGTCAATTTTTTTTAATTGGAGTTAAAATTTATGTAGATATGACAGAACCTAACCAACCTTACCTAACCTAACCAAGGTTAGGTTAGGTAGCCAAAAAAGTTAGTTTAGGTTAGGTTAGGTAGTCGAAAAACAATTAATTCATGAAAACTTGGCTTATTAGGCAAATCGGGCCTTGCATAGTAGGCTGAGAAGTGCGTTCTGGCTACTAGGTACGACATATATATATATACACACACACACACACATCCAATTCTCACATTTTTTATGTATAACAAGCAATGTAGCTGATAGTCAAGACAGAAAAACCTAAAACAGGAGCTGAAAAACCCTTAGTTCCAGAAGTATTTTATGTAGAACCATTTAAAAGAAAGAACACTAATAAAGGTTCTTAAATAAGTTAACTAGCATCTTCCTGTACAGCACACACAAATGAAGCACAGCAGTATTACCTTAGAATTCTTGAGGTCAGTGTCAAGTTTCTCCAATTTCAGTGCAGCTTTTTTGGCACGAGATTCGACCCACTGCATGTCAAGGGCAGGTAAATTGGCTACTGTTCCACTTCCCACTTGACCACCCGCTATATCTGGTAGACTTGCATTTCCTGCAGTGGCTCCACTGTAAAGAAAAGCTAAATTTGAGAGATTCACACACTTGTTGAACGTGCAATAAGACAAATAACATTCAGTTAGTAGACCATTTGTCCATGATTACTTGTCAAAGTACTAAGTGAGGGGAAGAAGTAAAAGGTTTACCCACTCCTGCTTCTTTCTGTGGCTACCTTGCAAGCTGCTCCACTTTCTACTTAACCTCTTGTAATACAATTTCAGAGTTTTTATGTTCTTCTTTATCCTCTAAATGTCTCCCTCTCTATCCCTGCTATTTCGACAAAATTTATTATTTACACATTCTTACTTCCAGTATAAGCAAGTGAGAATGCTTCACTTACATCACAGTCCAATGTGTAGGGAAAATATTTTAATATTTCATGTGTGTGTGTATCCTTAAAGTCCCTGATGCTTGAAAGCAAATTAGATGCCATGAGACCACGCCCTCAAGAAATGGAAGTTCCCAGAGGACACAAGAAACGGATACAGCATAGTTATCGACAGAAAAAACAAAACAATGTTTATCTGCAGCATAACATGAATACATAGTGATCAATTCCATTACAAAGATAACAACACGAGTGTAAATTGGTCTGATCTCCCAGTGCTAATAATTGTCTTCAAGATGAATTAAGAGCAACTGTAAATAAAAAATAAATGTTGTAGATGAAAATAGGTCTAAGTATAATATGAAACACAGTAAACCGATACAACAACTACTGGCTAAATAATTAATACAACTTACAAGTACTTAATATTAAAATAAAAAAATGGGCAATTTGCCTTAAAAAGTTTGCGAACAATACTATATAACAAAAATGCTGTACAGTATAATGAACTAATACATTAAACACTCGTGTATACCTGACTGCCTCTTGCATCTTCCTGTGGAGTTGAGTATATAGGTTGACATTGTATGTTGTCTGGACATAATGTATGGCCATTCGAAGAGCTTCTACACGTAACTGAGGACATCGATCAGCTATGAAAACAAGTCGCTGAAGCTTTGCAAGGCCTGTGTAGCAGTTGGCGTAAGTCTCTAGATCCTGTGGAGTTGTGCACGTTATTACTGATAAAGAAAAAATGTACCCAGTACTTATCAAAATTAAAATTCAAGAACAGTTTAAGAATTCAATATCACTCAGATATCGATGCATTACGGTGGGCTGACAGTGCTGAAGTAAAATTTATTTACTCTTAATATTTATGACGACTTAAGAATAACTGCAATTTTTGTTATATTCAACTCTGAAGCAGGCACTGAAAATCAGTAGCAAGAAAATGGGGGATTGTCAGCAATAGTAATCAGACGCAGAGCATCATTTGAGCTAGCCAATGAGTAATGATGAAATGTGAAGATAATGTACAAATATGAAATATGTTTGAAGCTTAACTCGAATATAAAGATCGTGTAAATGAAATTAAATTTCCAGTATCAAAGCATTAACAAAAATTTAATGAAACTAATTTTGTTTATCACTCATCCATTTATTTATATGTATGAGCTGAGTATGCTAACTCGTATGGCCAAAAGGTGTCTAGAAATGGCTTGCTATCATGTGGGGAAAAATCCGAGTGTATTTGTACCATCAAGCATATAACATGGCTAATAGAAATGGTCAACCACAAAGAAGCTCACAAGTGATCAGTGGCACTTTGCCAAATAAAGTACTGTACTGTACTGTACATGTTTTTGGAGGAAGAAAGTGATGACTATATCAGGAATGTTCAGTTAGTGAAGTGAACACAGTGTAACGTTAGGATATGTGATAGGCAAAGTGCAGAGCTGGGGTGTTTTTGTTTGGGGTGATAGTAGCCCAAACCACACCAGATGGGGGCAAGAACACTACTATTTTTCTGCAACATCTGTTAAAAAGGTAAAAATACTTTTGGTATCATTTTTATTTGCACACAAACATGGGAGCAGACTGAAATATAGCTGCAGCAAATAGGTTTAACAATGCTGATTCTCGTGCTTTGGCAGCTCTGATTCCAAATGAGCACTGCCATATCATAATTAAAAATGTATAAGACAGTAAAGAATGACATGAAAAATGTGGAGCACAAAATGTTGAGAATTACGATTGCATAGAATCCTACGATGACATGTTCATGAATTATTTACACAATTACTCTGGCATAGAAAATATTCACAACTATTAAATGAATGGATGGATAAGAGTGGCACAGTAGAAGAGATAATGATCAGATATGGACTATGCATGTTCATGCACAAAGCATAAGATGTAACATAAAAAGATCTGACTGGAAGCATTATGTTAAAGAATATTTCATTTAGATTTTTAATGACACTATTTACATATTACACAAAAGTGATTGTACCCACTGAAAAATCACTTATTTTATTACCATTTACCAAAAATGAGTACTGTACCTTACATTTTACAATGTTTACAATTTGTTTCCCTTTTAACCAGTTATTCATTATTTTTATATGTGAACCAAAATTGTGAAAGATTAGATTCTTCAGTAGCTTAATTGATCTTCAGGACCATATATTGATAGCATAGGTAACAGTTCATAAGCTGGTTACTTTGAGCTAGCTGTCATGTGGATAAATGTATTACATACCCATACCCCAGCAGTCAACATACACCACAGAAAATTCATAATAGTGTACAGAATGGGGCATGGGAGTGGCAATAACAATAACTAGCTTGAGCAATCAAATTTAACATGATTATCTGATCCACTATGATGGCTGAAACTAGCACAGTGACAATGAGTAATGGTTATCTTGAGATTCTTGGTTATCTTGAGATGATTTCGGGGCTTTAGTGTCCCCGCGGCCCGGTCCTCGACCAGGCCTCCACCCCCAGGAAGCAGCCCGTGACAGCTGACTAACACCCAGGTACCTATTTACTGCTAGGTAACAGGGGCATAGGGTGAAAGAAACTTTGCCCATTTGTTTCTGCCTCGTGCGGGAATCGAACCTGCGCCGCAGAATTACGAGTCCTGCGCGCTATCCACCAGGCTACGAGGCCCCGTTGGGGTTCACTGGTGGGGTACACTGAATCACAGTAAGGCACATAATGCAGACAGCACGTGAAGAAGTGTACACAGTGGAAACAGAAGGCCAGACATAGGATACCAAATGGGAGATGAAGTCCTTCATGAAGCGGACAAAAAGAAAGATCTAGGAGTTGATATCACGCCAAACCTGTCTCCTGAAGCCCACATCAAAAGAATGTCAGCGGCATATACAAAGCTGGCTAACACCAGGACTGCCTTCAGGAACCTGTGTAAGGAATCCTTCAGAACCTTGTAGACCCTATATGTAAGAAAAATTTTGGAGTATGTGGCCCCTGCAGGGAGCCCATACCTTGTCCAAGCACAAGACAAAGTTGGAAAAAAGTTAAGAGGTATGCCACTAGGCTAGTCCCAGAACTAAGAGGCATGAGTTACAAGGAAACCTCACGTTGCTGGAAGACAAGAGCTCGGGGAGACATGATCACTACCTACAAAATTCTCGGAGGAATTGACTGGGTAGATAAAGATAAAATGTTAAACATGGGTGGTATGCGAACAAGGGGGGGACAGGTAGAAACTGAGTACCTAAATGAGCCAGAAAGAACTTTTTCAGTGTCAGAGTAGTTAACAGATGGAATGCATTAAGCAGTGATGTGGTGGAGGCAGACTCCATACAGTTTCAAATGTAGATATGATAGAGTCCAGTAGGCTCAGGAATCTGTACACCAGTTGATTGACAGTTGAGAGGCGGAACAAAAGAGCCAAAACTCAACCCCCGCAAGCACAACTAGGCTAGTACAATGAAGAACACTTACTAGTGAGGTGCTCTCCACGATCACTGGTTCATCTTCTGTATTGTCATTTTCTTCCACTGCCATATCGATTACCATGGGCTCTACATTGTTCTGAAATAGAATTAAATTATTACCAAAATATTATACAATGTAATATACAATAAATTCATACACACTCCGAACACCCGAAATGGGCCAAATTTGGTGCCAGTGTCTGGACACATTATTTAAGGGTAATAAACAATCTAAGTGTATACCCCTTTGTCACCTTGCAATTTAGACAATACTGTATATACAGTACATCCATTTAAAAACAAAGGAATAACATAACTAAATTTAGCCCCCTTACATTTGTTGATAAAAAATATCCAATACGGTATGCTTAAGAGCCATGGACTAGATCATGGAAAAAATACTGTATTATAATATTTATTCTAATAGATCTGTATTAAATACCTGGCATGTTTTAAGATGTTTAAGTGTATTCATAGAAGTCCTGCTTTTGGGTTACCTTTCAGTACTGGATTACTACAGATGACAACTGAAACACTTTTCAAGACAACCTGTTTAAAGTTCAGGAGCATAATATTCCACGTAAATCACTAACATAAAATACAGTACTGTACTGTAATAATAATTAAAATTATCCATCTAAGTTTGTTAAATGTGGCACATTATACTGTACCTCAATTTACCTGAGGTTATCTTGAGATGATTTCGGGACTTAGCATCCCCACGGCCCGGTCCTCGACCAGGCCTCTTTTTTGTTACACACCCCCAGGAAGCAGCCCGTAGCAGCTGTCTAACTTCCTGGAACCTATTTAAAACAGGGGGCATCAGTGTGAAAGAAATTCTGACCATGTGTTTCTGCTTCCACTGGGGATTGAACCTGGAACCTCAGGATTATGAATCCCGAGCGCTGTCCACTCAGTTGTCAGGCCATGGGCCACTATCTCTACAGGGACAGGAAGCCTGTGGCTTGTTCAAGATCCTCCCATTACCAAGGAAGTGTTCCTTGCTCAATTATGAATCTGAGTACTGTCTTGGCATTTATGGTTTTGGCAGGTAGGTGATTCTGTAGGTTTATTAACATCTGTTTTCTATCCTAGTGTGGCTTAACCTGCTTGATACCTGTTTGATGGGGTTCTGGGAGTTGTTCTACTCCCCAAGCCCGGCCCGAGGCCAGGCTTGACTTGTCAGAGCTTGGTCCAACAGGCTGTTGCTTGGAGCGACCCACAGGTTTATTGAGCTTAAAACTGTCACTCCTTGTGCAAGTTACAATGGGCTTTTTTAGAGAAATCGTCTGGATTAATATCTTACAATTTGTCCAATATTATCAAGGTCTTGATGAGACCAGCACTATTGTGTCTGGTTTGTAGTGTTGCTAAGCCTGAAAACCTCAACTCTTTCTGGTACGAGAGTTGACTGTTCTGGAACGATTTTTGTTGCTCTGCGTCAAATTTTGTCCAAAGCAGAGATGTCTTTATGCAGTCCATCCTCCTGTTCAGGTAGTACTCACAGTAACGATGAGTACCATCGTTCATATATTGACATAAAAGGTAATTTGAAAATAGAAAATGATACTATTGAATTTGGACAAACCATTAGTTGTTATATTTGTTGCAAAGAAAATCTAATCTAATCTTAGTAGGCCTAATACATTCTATTGGAGGCCCTAATATAGTTCATACATGTGCTGTACTAGGCCTAAGCATGTTTAAGCATTTTTCAGCTATATTTTTTCAGACCATAAAGTGAATGGTACCAAATTCTACTAATTGTCTTTCACATTAATATACTGTATGTATGAGTCCCCATAGTTTATTTATTTACATTTATTTATATCTACAAGAGTTTTTTCATTCTTGTAAAAGCCACTAGCATGCATAGCGTTTCAGGCAGGTCCTTAACCCTAATTTTCCCCAGAATACGACTCACCAAATACTTTAACAACCAGGTACCCATTCACTGCTGGGTGAACCAAGGCTATAGTTAAGGATTGGCGCTCGGTCAATGCTCCACGGCCAGAAAACAAACCGAGGCCAGAACGCTAACAAAGCACCGGGCGAGTTTTACCACTGTGCCACGGGGATGGCTACTTGACACATCGGTGACAGATAAATACAGATAAGTGACAAATCGTTACAAAAGTACTATTGAAACAGGAGGATCAGTTGCTTTTTGAAGATGAGGTGTCTATGATTGGACACAGTAGTCCAGATGGGGCATACCAGAGATCCGTGCAGCTGAATAACCTGTTGATCCTATTTTGTTCTTAATTTTAGGTAAGCACACATTATGTCGATGTTGTAAACTTCAAACCAATTTCTTCCATGTCATTATGTGACATAATATCATTCAACAGACTTGTATTACAAACTTTAAGTAACATTGATTTCTCCAACTACTTGCTTGTTTTTTCATCAAGATTTTAGGTCTTCAAACAGTAATTAACAAAATTCCTTTTAACGACCAACTCTTCATAGAGGTACGCTACTAAAACTTGTTAATTCTCACACTCTCATACATTCCAAGATGGTAATTGATCATTAAACCACCCCAAGGGTAGTGAAAAACTAGGTAGACAAACAAGTGTTCCATATAATATTTGTCAAAATTAGAATCCCGTTAGTAAAAAATAACACCAACTTATCTGCCAATTACACAATGAACAGCCTCAGATGCACTTGTGGATTTATCTGTAATCATTCATTTTCTAGTTTTTATGGTCAATTTTCTCAAGATTCCCGAGGCCAGCACACGCCCAGGTGCAGGAGCCGCGCATCTCCCACGGCTCCTGCTCCTACCAAACCTCCACTGTCCACGTCGTTGCCACATGACCTGTTTCCCAATTGCAAATAACTAACGCCAGAATAAATTAAGAATGGGTAAAGGCTACGATTATCCACCGGGGCAGCTTTCTCGGGTCTCTCCCACCACAAATATTCGTCGCACAGTCCCACTCTACACGCAACTAATATGGCTCATGTGTCCATCGAGGGCTCTAATCTCCGCGATTAATCCAGGAGCGGCCACCATACTAACCTGCATAAGGCCTCCTTGCATTTGCAGCGGCATTTCGTGAACAAGTTAGAGCATCAACTCAACAACAACACATCCCGTCATGGAGCTGCACCTCACTGCCGCCCCTCACCCTCTCTTTTCAGGAGAAAGGATTTAATACCTAAATTAAATTCCTCCTTGTAATTATTGCATGCAGAAGGCTAAATTGCACTCTTATTTTAATTTTTGCTCAACATTTTTTATCAATTATTGACTTAAAGTTAATAATAATATAATCAGTAACGCAAGTAAAAATAATTGCTAGTTTTTATTTGCATAACACAGACCATAGTGTAATATAAATTGACCAATTGTGTAATATAAAAAAGCCTGACAATCATTAAATTATTAATGTCAATTAAAGTTAATTCTTGCAAGCCTTGATTTGTAAAGCTCGTGTATATTAAACACAGTATATTTTATTTAGATCTGAAATTAAAGTAACAGTCAACACCTAGAAAATTACAGATTGCATTAAATTCTGCAAAATATAATTATCCATTACCTAACGTGAAACAAATTAAATCATATTATTTTAGGCACTGTAGTTTAGCGACACGAAAATCGTTGGTGGGGTGACCATTTAGTCAGAGAACTCGAGTAATGTTCCAATACTATTTTGTTCGAACTTTCATATAGATATTCAAACAACAGATGCTACAACACTCTAAATGACTTTCATTCTATAAAGTACTTTTAATACGATACCATAAATTATCTGTGAAAATATAACAGAATTATTTTTTAAGAGTTTTTATTTGTTCTAATAAATGCTTAGACTGCCCATCGCGGGTATTTTTAACATGTTGGAACTCTCATACACACATTCACATATTTACTTGAATTTACCTGAAGGCCACTAGCTCCTCGTCGAGAACAGAAAGCCGACGGTTTGTTAAAGGTACCTCCATTTGTCTTCATAATTTGTTCTAGTTGTATTTTCAATTTCAACAGAGTTTTGGCATTTACGGCTTCGGCGGGTAGGTAGTTCCGTGGGTTTATAATAATTTATAATAATTCATTGTATCTGGTGCAAGGCAGCCAGTTTATACATACCTAACATAACTAAGTCAATAATTTATTCTCCTAATATAATAGACTATTATTGTTAGAAAAGAACCAACCTGGAGCGAAATATTTTAAAATAAATAAAATAATAAAAAGTTTCAAAAACTGTTGGCAATCTTTCTAAGATCAGATATTATGTACCCCGCCCTGCCCTGGTGACGCTCTATTACTCCCTCATCGATCCATATCTCAAACTATGGTATTTGTGCTTGGGGTTCTACTACCCAAAATCATTTACGTTCTCTAATTACTCAACACAAAGCTGCTATTAGGACAATATCCAACTCTGGCCCCAGACATCACTCGGTACCCCTACTCAAATCACTGAATATGTTAGATATTAAGTCACTGCACATCCTCTCATGTGTATTATACATATATAAAACTCTGAACTGTAATGCCAATCCTGACCTCAAAAGCTTCATTGAAGGTTGTAACAGAACCCATGAGCACCACACCAGAAACAAATACCGTTTTGATATTCCAAGAGTACGACTTAATCAAACTAGAAATGCTCTACAAATCAAGGGACCCAGAATGTGGAATGACCTTCCCAACCATGTTAAAGACTGTACCTCTCTCAACCAGTTTAAGATAAAAACGAAGCACTACCTAATAAATTCCCTGTAACCTACCTTACCCCTATATTGTCAACCCATGTCTGTTATTTTTTAAACAACGCTGTTTGTCGACCTAATTGTATTTGTGCTGTTTTTTCTGCCATGTTCCCTCCTTTTTTATTTTTATTTGTTCTCAACACATTTTATACTTTAATCTCAATTAGTATTAAGTTTTAGTCTTTAATGTTTTTCCTGCCCGAAACGCTTTGCGTAATAGTGGCTTTAGGCATTGTATGTACTAACACTATCTATAAATCTATCAGTTTCTGTATAACCTCTTGTATGTATGTACTTTACCTGAATAAACATTTGAATTTGAATTTGAATTTGAAATGTATTTATTTATTTATATACAAGAAGGTACATTGGGGGGTTAAGAGAGTATATATATATAGCAAAGAAGATTTTACATTCTTGTAAAGCCACAAGCACGCATAGCGTTTCGGGCAGAAACGCGAGTGTAAAGCTGCCGCCCAGTTGGGTGGGTGTGGAGCAAGACTCCACACTTGTCTGGAGTGTGTCTCCACACACTTGTCTGGAGTGTGTCTCCACACACTTGTCTGGAGTGTGTCTCCACACACTTGTCTCGAGTGTGTCTCCACACACTTGTCTGGAGTGTCTCCACACACTTGTCTGGAGTGTGTCTCCACACACTTGTTTGGAGTGTGTCTCCACACACTTGTCTCGAGTGTGTCTCCACACACTTGTCTGGAGTGTGTCTCCACACACTTGTCTGGAGTGTGTCTCCACACACTTGTCTCGAGTGTGTCTCCACACACTTGTCTGGAGTGTGTCTCCACACACTTGTTTGGAGTGTGTCTCCACACACTTGTCTCGAGTGTGTCTCCACACACTTGTTTGGAGTGTGTCTCCACACACTTGTCTGGAGTGTGTCTCCACACTTGTCTGGAGTGTGTCTCCACACACTTGTCTGGAGTGTCTCCACACACTTGTCTGGAGTGTGTCTCCATACACTTGTCTGGAGTGTGTCTCCATACACTTGTCTGGAGTGTGTCTCCACACACTTGTCTGGAGTGTCTCCACACACTTGTCTGGAGTGTGTCTCCACACACTTGTCTGGAGTGTGTCTCCATACACTTGTCTGAAGTGTGTCTCCACACACTTGTCTGGAGTGTCTCCACACACTTGTCTGAAGTGTGTCTCCATACACTTGTCTGGAGTGTCTCCACACACTTGTCTGAAGTGTGTCTCCATACACTTGTCTGGAGTGTCTCCACACACTTGTCTGGAGTGTGTCTCCACACACTTGTCTGGAGTGTGTCTCCATACACTTGTCTGGAGTGTGTCTCCATACACTTGTCTGAAGTGTGTCTCCACACACTTGTCTGGAGTGGCTCCACACACTTGTCTGGAGTGTGTCTCCATACACTTGTCTGGAGTGTCTCCACACACTTGTCTGGAGTGTGTCTCCACACACTTGTCTGGAGTGTGTCTCCACACACTTGTCTGAAGTGTGTCTCCACACACTTGTCTGGAGTGTCTCCACACACTTGTCTGAAGTGTGTCTCCACACACTTGTCTGGAGTGTCTCCACACACTTGTCTGGAGTGTGTCTCCACACACTTGTTTGGAGTGTGTCTCCACACACTTGTTTCGAGTGTGTCTCCACACACTTGTCTGGAGTGTCTCCACACTTGTCTGGAGTGTGTCTCCACACACTTGTCTGGAGTGTCTCCATACACTTGTCTGGAGTGTCTCCACACACTTGTCTGGAGTGTCTCCACACACTTGTCTGGAGTGTCTCCACACACTTGTCTGGAGTGTGTCTCCACACACTTGTCTGGAGTGTGTCTCCACACACTTGTCTGGAGTGTGTCTCCACACACTTGTCTGGAGTGTGTCCACACACTTGTCTGGAGTGTGTCTCCATACACTTGTCTGGAGTGTCTCCACACACTTGTCTGGAGTGTCTCCATACACTTGTCTGAGTGTGTCTCCACACACTTGTCTGGAGTGTCTCCACACACTTGTCTGGAGTGTCTCCACACACTTGTCTGGAGTGTCTCCATACACTTGTCTGGAGTGTCTCCATACACTTGTCTGGAGTGTCTCCATACACTTGTCTGGAGTGTCTCCACACACTTGTCTGGAGTGTCTCCACACACTTGTCTGGAGTGTGTCTCCACACACTTGTCTGGAGTGTGTCTCCACACACTTGTCTGGAGTGTGTCTCCACACACTTGTCTGGAGTGTGTCTCCACACACTTGTCTGGAGTGTGTCCACACACTTGTCTGGAGTGTCTCCATACACTTGTCTGGAGTGTGTCTCCACACACTTGTCTGGAGTGTGTCTCCACACACTTGTCTGGAGTGTGTCTCCACACACTTGTCTGGAGTGTGTCTCCACACACTTGTCTGGAGTGTGTCTCCACACACTTGTCTGGAGTGTGTCCACACACTTGTCTGGAGTGTCTCCACACACTTGTCTGGAGTGTGTCTCCACACACTTGTCTGGAGTGTGTCTCCACACACTTGTCTGGAGTGTGTCTCCACACACTTGTCTGGAGTGTGTCTCCACACACTTGTCTGGAGTGTGTCTCCACACACTTGTCTGGAGTGTGTCTCCACACACTTGTCTGGAGTGTCTCCATACACTTGTCTGGAGTGTCTCCATACACTTGTCTGGAGTGTCTCCATACACTTGTCTGGAGTGTCTCCATACACTTGTCTGGAGTGTCTCCACACACTTGTCTGGAGTGTGTCTCCACACACTTGTCTGGAGTGTCTCCACACACTTGTCTGGAGTGTCTCCACACACTTGTCTCGAGTGTGTCTCCACACACTTGTCTGGAGTGTCTCCACACACTTGTCTGGAGTGTCTCCACACACTTGTCTGGAGTGTCTCCATACACTTGTCTGGAGTGTCTCCACACACTTGTCTGGAGTGTCTCCACACACTTGTCTGGAGTGTCTCCATACACTTGTCTGGAGTGTCTCCACACACTTGTCTGGAGTGTCTCCATACACTTGTCTGGAGTGTCTCCACACACTTGTCTGGAGTGTCTCCATACACTTGTCTGGAGTGTCTCCACACACTTGACTCACAAACGTGAGTTACACAGCCTAACTGTGTGACTCACCATAGATGTAAAGTGCATGTATAGTGACTTTTGTGAGCCTCTTGTTGAACCACTTGTGTTATAAAAAGATTATTGATATGTATATGTATCCGTATACATGTATATATATATATGTACATGTGTATGTAACATTAACAATTGTGTAACTAGCTTCATAAGATTATCACTTACTTAGCTAAACGAACTATGGGGCTCTTGAAGTCACTATGTCCCTCTGTAACCCTTTCCACCACCGCCCCCGGGATGGGTATGGGGTGCACAATAAAGAAAATAAATAGGAAAAAAGGGCACATAAGTGTGTGTTCTCTGTGAAC